CCACCCCCGGGTCCCCACGTGCTTTCGAAGTGCTGCCGAATGCGAGGCGCTCAATGCAGCAGAGGTGGTCCCCTGGGCCTCAAGGGGCCCGAATTGTGGGGGCTTCAACATTACAAATCATCGCCGGTCAAAGCGCTGGGTGCCAGCGTCGGTACCCACGAGGGTCAGAGCGCGTCCGTCTTCGTCCATCCCTGGGAGGCACAGCTCGCCTCAAGGCGGACTGCATCACTCAAACGGAGATGGAGCTCGCTGCACGCACACGCTGCGTCATGCATCCATCCGTGTGCGCCGTGAAACCGCGTGGCGTGCCGATGCACTTGCACGGCGCAAAATATTTGTGAACAAATAATGTTGAGACGGAGGTCATCACAGAGAATGAGTGGCCGTGACAAGGGGCGTCGTCAATTGGCTTCTGGAGGGTTGCTTTATGGGCAGCAGAGCGCAGTGCAGCATAAGCAATTGTTGCACTGTGCTATGCCCACGTCTATCCACGCCACCTTCAACTCACACAGACCAGAATGAGGTATGGTCAAGGAATCCCCACCATCCACACAGCATAAGGCAATCATCCCGCAGTGCACTGATAAAAGTCATGCACGTACATTTCATAATGAAAAGCAACACAAGGTGACTAAACAGGCCAAAATAAGAATGTTCCAATCCGTGTATATAACTGGCCACATGGATCAGAAACATTGACAATACTAAAAAGTATGCAAAGAAATACGAAAAGGCGCATGCTTGTAATGACACAGGCAGAAGGAACACATGGAACATACATGGCAACTTTTAATCAACATATGGACTACGAAGAGAATTCAGTGGACTCGGACGGGAGACAATCCCTCGAAGATGACGGCCGTGACAGAACAGCGGCCAAAGGAAGGGAAACATGTCGGGGAGGATGATCACCGGAGATGAAGCAACGGACATCAATTCACGGGCAGCAGTGATTGTCTCTTTGGACCGTGAAAGACCGCGGCAGCGGCGACCAACGTGGGGAGGCCCTCATTCGGCGATGGATAGATCGTGGTGGATAGATCGTGCCAGGTGATGGATGAGTCCTCGAAATCAATGTATGATTTGTATCAGTTTTTATTTGTATACTTGCTCGTGGTCACTTTGGACATTTTCAAGCGAGTCCATAATCAATGTTGTTCATTCGGTCAAGCTTTACAAGTTTTTGTTACCATTTGTAATGCTTAAAACAAAGACTGCAAATGTGGTGCTTTTTTTAAAATAAAAGCCGTAATTCTATGATATTTTTTTACCACTCTCCTGTACTACATCAGCGACTGAACACAACTGCACTCTTGAGAGCAATGATTTAAATGGTGTCTTTAGCATGTACTGTCAGACACATTTAAGACTTCAGTGGCATTTCCTTGACCGTGGTATACTTGAAGGTTCAACTCCATGAAAACCATCCTGGCGGCAAGCACAGTGAAAGCTACATGGACCCTTTCTTAAAGCCCTGCGAACTGGGTAGAGTTCCTCACAAATTACCATCCATTTCACATCAAAATTGCGATGACAATGTGACGCAAGGACGCAGTTGTTGATCATGGAAATCTTTTATAAACACGAGTCTCAAAATGTCAAATTGGGAAATGATTTCAGAAGTCTCTCTTATCCCAACCTCAAAACGACGATAATTTTACGTGTACAGTGCTTCGCTGTGTTCATCTGCAGATATATTAAACCTTTAGATCTTGCCTAGATTCCATTAAGTGCAAAAGCCACCGACTAATTTGTGTTCAGACAATGGTCCCTGGGCTGAGACCATTAAACTCCTTAAATACGATAATCCATTTTGGGAGTAAAAACTGTTTGTTTTGGTTGTAAGGTCAATTCGTTTATAATTATATTTGTGTGTGAGAAGCCCATACCAATACATGACCAAAACTCACCACAATTCACAAGAAGATAGATGGGTGTTACTTCCATATCATGGACAACATCCCTACATTGAAAAATTACCGGTCCTCCGAATTGAATTTTACAGGTGTCTATCTCATCACCACCCACGTGTAATAAGAGTCGCTTGAACAGCGCGACAAACCCATTGGGCGGCAAGGGTGCCTTCTTCTGCACCGTACGTAGCCAACCGTGGCAAATCGGAGGTGCGGGAAATAGCTATAAAAAACATACAACGTAATTGGTATTGGCCAAACCTCCCATTGCTGTAGAAATACCTGCAAATTACTCAAATGGGGTTATATGCAGCAGCAGCAGCAACACCATTGCTGCCGCCTGTGAAAAGTCAGGAGCCTCTGGAAAAAGCATCGAGTCTTAGCGAAGCCGTTCTGGATTAAAAAGCATAATAATAATACTATTAATGAAATAAAAGACCGTGTTGCATTGTCCGGTTTGGCAGTCTGCTTACATGCTTTTATTCTTTTCGGCCATATAAATGAAAGCAAAAGCCAACTTCAATTTTGTAGATTTTCTTTTTTTTTAAAATGAGAATCGTTCGTTAAGTGGAGTGGACCAGGGTTTAGGTATTTTATTAGGTCTGAACGTGATCTAAAGAGATTGACCGACAATGCACGACACACGTTTTCAGCAAATATTATCGTGAAAAGGTTCCTCGATTAAACCAAACTATGATTCGGACATTAAAAACCGTATGAAGCAACGTAAGCTGAAACGTCTGTACACTGCAGAAACATTGGAGATTTCAGAATGGGTACTTTATACCACGACACACTCCACTACTCCTCACGCAATCATCTAGCCCAACCACCTCAATGCAAAATTATAGCTGTTGCTCTACATCAGCACCGTCAGTCATATGAAGAAGACGATAGCTGCTCTTGGGCAAGATCTACAATGGCTTTGCATACTGATGAGGAACAGCAGTGTGTGAGAATATTTTTTTTTGAAGGAAGGCAATTATTGAACTTGCCGAAAAGCACATATTAGCTGTATAGTTCTGATATAAAACTATATTTAGTAAAGGCAGCAGCCCAAATCGGTATTACATTTTTTTTCCCCCAAAGAAATGTTGGCAGTTACAGATTAAAACACACATTCTCACGTACTCCTACCAGAGTATGAGAGCCCAAACAAAGACAAAGATCCCCCGGGACTGTTGGGGCAAGTGCTGTTAGCGAGCACCTATGAAGGCCTGCACAGTACACGCGGGGGTGGGTGGCCAACAACACGCCCGACCGCCTTTGTCTGCCCAGTGGCGATGTTTACACACCACACCAGGTACAGTCCTCATTTGAGGCCGACTCGACCTAGGGGAGGCCCAGGACTGGTTCAGATAATTGTCACTGTTGTTGGCCGTGAGCGGGAATCAAACCCGGGTCCCGTCAGGTTCACTGCGCAGCGCGCTAACCGCTAACACCACCGCTCCCCGAATGACAACCCTCACCTCCTATATAAGCCACACACAGTGTATAGCAAACTCGCTCTAATAGCGATCTACCTTTACTTCAAACCCTCATCCTTAGGTCAAAAGGGCAGTGTGTATTTTTTTTCTCTTTAACTTTATTTTTCAATATAAAAAAGGAATTAAACCATGGCTGTTCCAACTGCACATGCAAACCAACAGTAATAGAAAAAAAACGCACGAATAGCAAAAGTCACAAACAGCCACATGATGACAGCGGCACGCAATCGCGTGCGACAGGTGCCACCTTCACGAGTTAGCTAGGAAAGGAAACCAACGAATCACAGACGATGCATTTCCTCCTAATGGGACGACCACCGATCCGAAAAATAATATGCCGATCTGCGAGACTTCCGATTCAAAACACTACTGGATTAGAGGGAGCCAACTGAATAAGACTTAAACATTATTTATAATATGAGACCCTTACAGGATTACACATCTGTAGGTCTTATTATAGTAAATGTCAATTATAATAATATTATACACGTTTTCAACTTCCAATCAGGTTCAATCAGTGCAGCTGTTCATTCACAGTTAGATTATACATAAGCTATGTACAGTATATATAATATGTACTGCATATATAAATATAAGAGTATTATTATCATACAGAAGTAAGCAGTCATGGGGTGGAATTTCTAAAACAGCACAGGTGTAATTAATTACAAACAACAAAACCCTCCGAGCAAACGAAAATAACAAAAAAAGCAATCTTTTGACACAAACCGTAGCGCAACGTCACCGTTTTTAAGTTGTGGGAACACAGTGCTACACCGTTAACAGGATCAGTGATGGGAGAGAGATGAGGACAACGCAGACGACGATGGTAGACCAAAAGGTTCTTCTCCATCGCAATGTCAAAAAGATCGAATTCCAATCACCGTCAGCGCGCACCACGGCAACCTTGCAGCTTCAATAAAAAACCAACCCCACCCGATTCCGAGTCGGTTTGATGGGTTAGATCGCCGCGTCAGCAAAATATGTGGCCGTATGCCCTCCTCCACCTAACACAGCCAATGAATAAAGTTGTCACAATGTGCCAATGCATTACCGCTTCAAGCACACCGGGTGTTGGGACTGCAATCCACGTTGTTAAATGTTACGAATCGTTTTGGTCACAAAAAAGAAATCTGCTTGTTAAATTAACACTACCTGTTCAAGTTACACCACTTGGTGGGAAGCAAATGAATGGTGGTTGGTGTGTTTAAAAGAGTCCCTTGCCACCGGAATGTGGAATTTCCACAAGCTCGGGACACGAACAATGGGGGGAGCATTGCACAACTCTCACACGAGCGTCACTTTTTTTGGCGTGGCTTCAAAACACAGACTTTGGAGACTTCGTTTTAAGTAATATCTGTGGATTAAAATGAGTTTCACTTTTTGGAATTTAGTCACAAGTAGGCAAGGTCTGGCCGATCCAAAATCAACTTCCACAATCAACAATTGCATAATGAGCCGGAGGTTTCTGAAACCACGATGGTGCCTACAACACAAACTAGACAATGCATGCGATCATCATTTTTAGTCCCAAAGCTGAAAGTGATTGTGTTTCTCTATCGCTAATAAAAGCCATTCGATTTTAACTGTACAGAAATTGTGGTTTATCAGAGGAAAAAGGCGAAGCATTTCGCTGCAGTCACTACATTGGGTGTTCTTGGATTCCAACCGAAAATGGTTTTCAACATTTTACCATAAAAGTTTTTTGTTTTGTTTCAACATCACTAAATCAGCAAAACGTGAAAGTACAACACACAATGAGATGCATCACATCACAGCTCCATGTAAAAAATCATTAACGTCTGTACGGCCACACAGAGCTAAACTCTTCACACATCTACTGCACAAATACACCTCAAGCGATGCTGTTGACAGAACCAAAAGCACTTTTTGCCCACTCTTTTTTTTTTTGGCGTGGATTACTATGTTTTAAATAAAACACGTGTTAATATATTCTCTGCATATACTGCAAGCAAAACGAATGGTGTTCACGATACATTTAATCTTAAACAGCCCATTACACCACACCATGACTATATGCAAGGTCCTTTCATCTGCATTGACAACACAGCTATATACACACACACACAATATTTAACTTGTCTTATAAAAAAGACTCTGTGATGAGGCTGTAAAAGTTGTAGTGTCACCTCGTTCCTAACTCAAATCCCGGGAATGTGTTTTCAATGACTACAAAATTTAGAGTACCAGAATTCTTATATGGATTAGGGTCATATAAAGTCCATTATACCTCCACCACAATAGGTCTGCAGGGTGTGCGTGTTGGCATGTGTACGCGTGCGTCTTGTGAATGCATTTTCTGACAATCCCGTGTCTCCCGCGGCCTTCTCAGCCGCGGTGGCCGCATTCCGCATCACCACTTCTGCACGTGACCGGAGTAGTCACTGTTCGCCGGGCGCGGGGCATTCGGCTCCGCAACAATCCCGCCCTCGCCACCTCCGCCGCCACCCTGTCGCTCGGCGCGACCGACACCGCCGTCTGGGGCGCCTCCGTCACTTGGCAACGCCGGCTCGGCCGCGGCCGCCGCCGCCGCCTCCTCCTCCTCCTCCTCCAGCTGCTGCCGCTGCTGCAGCTTAAAATCGTTTTCCAGTTGCCGTTCGAGAAATTCGGCCTCCTCCTCCTCTTCCTGCGAGATGTCGCCGCCGCCGCGCGTCGGATCGGCGGCCCCCGCCGAGGCGGCGCCCGGCGCGGGCGCCGCCTCGGCGCGGCCAAACCACCAGGCGCGAGGGCCGGCGCGCTCCTGCTGCCGCTGGCGCTGGCGCTCCAGCCGCCGCGCCCGCTGGTAGCGCTGCAGGAAGAGGTCGCGCGCGTACTCGTACAGCTGCACGTCCATGTCGTTGAGCTCGCGGATGCGCGCCATCGTGGCGTTGGGCACGTCCACGCCGGCGGCGCGCGTGGCGTTGTACTGGGTGAACGGCGCGATGAAGCGCAGCTGAAACGTGCGCTCAAAGAGGAACTGCGTGCGCCGCTGGAACTCGGTGAGTCCGAAGAAGGCCATGCCGCGCAGGTTGCGTTTGGCGCTCTCGAGCAGAATCTGCCCGCGGCGACGCTCGATCATGAACGACGCGTTGTAGCAGCCGACGAGGCTCAGGTCGGCGAGCATGCGCGTCTGTCGGTTGTTGGCCAGGTTGTACGGGCAGGCCATGAAGTCCGTGAGAGAGACGCCCGCCCAGTCGTCGCCGGCGTAGCAGGAGGGCAGCTCGTGCGGAGTGGGCGCCCGCCCGTCGCACATGTGCAGCGAGGTCTTCCACGTGGCGCCGCGCTGCACGTGCCGCCACTCGCTCAGGTAGCGCGACACAGGGTCGCGCAGCATCGTGATGTAGTAGAAGTTCCTAGTGACAAAGACGGGGGGGGGGGGGGGGAGCAACCGTTAAGCTGGACTTGTTGGGAATAATCCGCGTGAGATTTTCACTGCACTCCGCAACACATTCAGCGTCGTCAATTGTTCCGTACCTCGCGAGTGGGGTTTCGGTATGAACAACTATTCCCGGTTGAGATTTCAATAGGATGTTTTTTTTTTCTCCTCCGTTGACTCTTTACGCGAGAGTTTCATTTTGCTGGCCCCAAGTTGTGGCCAGAGAGAGGTGATGCGTTTTATGGGTTGGAACAATTAGAGGCAAAACTGGGACATGCATCATTACAATAATTACTCAGATGGGATCAATTGCATCGATAATTGCTCCCTACCGGCAGACGAATGCTTCTTTGCAGGCCAAGGTGACGAGTCACCTTGTGCCGACAGGGACAGCTGCCAATGGGGGTGCCCTTTCAAACGTTTGAGACAATAAGTAATTTGTGTGTCGCGTGCCCGTAGAAACGGGTGCTAAATAAAATAACTGGTACTTATTGTCAGTATAATAATGATGCGAGGACCCTCTCTGCAGGCCGTCAGAAAAGACCAATGTACAAAAGGGTCGTGAATTAATATGCGGAGAAAGCGGTTCAGCAGATACCGAGTGGGCAAACGCAAAAGGAAAAGCAAAAAAAGGCTACTCAACATAATATAGAAAATTGTCAGCAGGTGGTAGCTTTTTTAGAGCTCGCACAGTACGGACAACCCATAACGCACCGGGGTCTGCCGTGTGACCTCCCATCGGCAAGCCTTCCTCTCTCTTGACAACAACGACGCCGCTTGAATCTGTCCCCGAAACGTCAGCTGTCGACGGACAAGCTACCTGACGAGCACGCTGGGCATTTTGTATCGCAATCACAAGTTGAGTTCCCCCGAGGAAAGTGTCACCTCGCATCGCACAAATCCTTCAAATACGAGCCGCGCACACTGGGCCGGTCGTCACTGCCACTTCGCAAGGTGAATTTAGAATATTGTAATAAATATATAACGTTGTTCAAACTTTTAAGAGGGGCTTCCATCAGATGAGGATTATTCTTATACACACACACACACACGTGTTTTATTGATCGAGTATTGCACTGAAAATCATGGAAATGAAGTGGCTGCAGTGACTGCTGACAAATGTGCTTCTTGCCCCACCGTTTAATTTACTCGGGATCACATCTTGCCAGACATGGAGCTAAAAGCATTAATCCTCAGTCGCCACGAGGAACCATCTGGATTGTTCGAAGCCCTATCAGCGGCTCCATGTCAGAATGCGTGCTTACACAGCGAGTGTTCACTGGAAAACTTGAAACTTCTGGAGTAAAACTTCCTGGCTTGATTATAATGTGTTATTACCATTGTTACGCTTGTTTGCTCAGGAGAGGCCACACTGAGTCTCACGAATCTTTTTCAGGAGGATCCTGCCAAGATTTGGTAGTATAGGGGGGGGGGGGTGACATTGCTGAAATGTGTAATCCCATTTCAGTAAGGTGAAAGGTAATGTCTCAGCATTGGGATATTTACCCAATACCAGTTACATTTTACATACATTGTTTTCGCTATGAAATGGGACAGCCAGTTCGAGGCTCATGCAGAACAGGGAGAGACCATACAAAATGCCACACAGATAGGCACCGAGATGGGAATCTAACCCAGGGACTTCTTGCTGCGAGGCCCGAGTGTGACCAAGGCGACAAGCTGCCGCCTGGATGAAAGATCGAGATGAGATAGAAGGCAAAGCTCATCACAGGTTATTTAATGCGAATGTAGATGGCTTTTTGTAGACATGATATTCATCAATTTTATACATGCTGCTGAAGAGTAATTTATACCAAGCTTGTCAATGAAATTAAGATTTTCATTAAAGGCGGATCATTAAATTAAACTAACGCATAACGAGTAGGTATTCAAATAAAATTTAAGTGGATGGACACCATCAAACAATGCACAAATTGTGTGTAATGGCTTTAAGTTAATCATGACTATGATGTAACCGAAGCAAGTTTATTCTTTCCAATAGAGTATTTTCCTCTAAATTACTAAATAAAACATAAATAATCTGCATTCAATTGAAGTCAAACATTAATTGAAGTGTCAACTTCAACTAATGGGCATTCAAGGCCATCAAGAAGCCCATGAATATCTGCACCTGCTGCAAAGGAGCTTCAAAAGGGGGCCTCTCACCAATGCTGGAGCAAATCTCTTGCAAGAAATCACAATTACCCACAATTCTGGCTTACCCAGGTCAACTTTCACGAGGTTTCACTGTATAGTGTTAAGATTACACAAATAAATCAAATAAAATGCATCTTATATCGCCAGAACTTTTTTTTCACACTGAACGTAGCCAGACGTGCTAATCGTAGGTGCGGACGATGGGCTGAGTCAACCCCCCCCCCCCAGCCAGGAGTTGAACTCACAACCTTGCGACTGCGAGCCGTTCGCTGGAACGACGAGCCACCCGAGCCGCGACTAACGATGACGGATGACCATGAAAATCTCAGACGATAGGAAGAGGTGTTGTACGTACTATGTGTTGATCAGAGGCGCAAAATCAGATGTGGGAAGCTAAGCTGGGGTGGAGCCTGGACAATGGTTGGTCGGGTGACCACCGTGTCAAGCCAGGTTGTCATTGGCAACTGGCAGGCTTCGCCACATCGATGAGAGGGCAATGCCAAAAATCCATTGCTGTTGTACCTCTTAAAAACCGATGTCCACGCTCCCTGCCTGCACCAGCCTGCACAAAGCCGCACTTAGCAGCGTGATGACGTGTGGTAAAATAACCCCCGTGACCTCCACGGCATGGGGAGGGGCCCTGACCCGGCAGTGGATTGACACAAGGGATGTATGTGCATTAAAGGTGCTTTTTGTGTTAGCTTGTTGTCCTTCCCCCACACCTCCGATTAGCACTGTTGGCTACGTACGCAACGAAAGAAGTTCAACATAGGTGCACTACTAGGTTTGAGAGAATGCAATGGGTGGAGAACATCGAAACTCTGGAAAGGTAGATCATAAATGAAACGGCATGCTTACTGCATCACTCCCTACACAACACACACCTCACTGCCTCTGCAGTTAGACTGCCCTGGGTGCAAGGCAATATTTAAGGAAGGTGCCGCACCATTGTTACAACTGCTGTGCTCGGAACAGTGGTGGCAAGCACTTGGGTCGCAAAAGATTTTGTCGTGGACCTCAGGACAAATCAAAACAAACACAAATGTAAGCAAACTATTTTTGTTTGGACTGATGGCAAACAAAAATGCATTTATTAAACATGTACTTCCAATATATGGTCCTGGTAGTATATTATTTATTCTTTAACAAATAACAGCGTGAAGCCACCTCTATTATTGTTATAATAGGTTTTTCATATGCAGTGCATTGTTGAAGAAAAACAGCGTTTTGGCACACGAAACGGAATAGCCACATCAATAAAGTAACTGCCCTCATAAACAGAAAAACACACACTTGGGCATCACAGGATTAAATGTGGCTAAGTGTTGATAATGTGCTTTCTGTTGGATCATCGTGGAGCCCGTTGAGATCCACCAGGACCGATCATCACACCGATCATCACAGTCCTGGGTGTATTGGCCACGGCTGTGCAGGAATCTTGAACGGAACCGGAGGATTCTGGATTGCAAGTTCAGTGTGCTAACCAGTACACCCCAGCAGCACACACGGCATTCGGTCCAGACATATATTATAGTGCCTGGCGCCGTAAAAACTCAAAATGAGAGCTAGTTTTTCTCCACCGATGGCCCAACGCGTTATGCCATCAGTCCTGCCTCGTTTTTTTTTTCTCTTTTATAAAACCGACTTCAGCCTTGCGAGGCGTCCAGGTAAAAATCGCGGCGCTATTCTTTTATCAACTCGAACCAGCCTGTCGCCACGATCTTTTTTACGTTCGGCCCCGTTCACGTCACTCCCTAAGCACTTCCACCACATTCTGCAATCACTTCTGGAGATCCCGAGTGACGGGGATCAGCGCCGCCTGGTGACGGGGCGTCAAGCGCGGTGCGGCGGGGACGACGGGATCAGACCTCCGGTCACCCTCTCTTAATGGTGCTCGCAAATACCGCGCTCGCACACTGTACTACTACTTGGTAGACCTCCAGCGGCGGGATGCAACGCTTGGCACACGGATGCCGATTGTTAGCAAATGAGCTCCCTATGAATATTTCACTTGTGCGCGTACGTGGGGAGCGTGTAGCAGCGTGGCGGCGAAGGCGCGCTGCGAAACCCCGGCGACCCGAGCTCGAATGCCGCTCGCGACCAACACCGGTGACGACTATCAGGACCCGTCCCGGGCATCCCCTACGTCGACCCAGCCTCAAACGAGTACTTGGTGCGATTGTGTGAGCATCACCACTAGGGAGACAAAGGCGATCGGGCATGTTGCTGGCCACCTACCCCCTTCATAGGTGCTACTCACTAACACTACTTGCCCATAGAGTCTGTTAAGGATGAGGGATATTTGTTTTATATTTGCTTGGGATAGGTACGCAACGTGGTTAGCACACTGCGCTATTGACCTGGCAACCTAAGTTCAATTACCGCTCATTACCAATATCAGTGACGAATATCTGAACCGGTCATGGGCCTCCCCTTGGTTGACTTTAAATGAGTGGTACAAAGGAAGTGGTGCTGGCCACCCACCCCATTGTGTACCATTTCGGTCTTTATAGGTGCTTGCTAACAGCTATTAACCCAAATGTCTGTTGAAGGCTACATGGGGCATCTTTATACGTCTTGCCGTGAGTTTATATATGTAAGTTTGTGCATATTGTAGGAGCTGGTGGTGGTGGTAAGGTGCCTGGTATACTGCGTTACGATATGTGATCTAGAATTAATTCTAGGCCATGTGCAACATTAACACAAATGTGTATTTAAACGTAGCCGGAATTGAGTATACGGTGTGCCGACGGTGTGATGGGAAGCCAGCACTCCAAACAAGTCCTCTCTTGAAAAGTGTAGCTACGCTTGAAGTGGAGG